GATCTATCCATTGATGACAGGAAGGTGCTGAAGTCTCCCACTACTGTATTGGAATCTGTTTTTCTCTTTAGAGCTAATATTTGCTTTGTATATTTGTCTAGTCTTGTGTTGGGTACATATATACTTATGATTGTTATATCTTCTTGGTGAATTGGTTCTCTTATATGTAATATCTCTTTATCTGTTTAAGTTTTGATTTAAGGTCTATTTTATCTGATATGAGTATAGCTACCCCAGCTCAATTTTGGTTTCCATGTGCGTGGTATATCCTTTTCCAAACTTTCAGTTTCAGTCTATGTGTGTATTTATCTATGAAAGGAGTTTCTTTGATGTAGCATATAGCTGAGTGTTGTTTTTTTTTTTTTTTTTTAATCCATTCAGCCAACCTATTTCTTTTGACTGGAGAATTTAATGCATTTACATTCAAGATTAATATTGATAAATATGGAGTAACTCTTATCATTTTGATTGGCTACTGATTGTTAGCAGATTGGGTACTGATGTATTTTCATGATAAATACTTATTTTTATTTTTTAAAATTTGTTTTGTTTATTTGAATGACAGAGTTACTGAGAGGGTGAGACAGAGAAAGATCTTCCATCTGCTGGCTCACTCACCAAATGGCCACAATGGCCAGGGCTGGGCCAGGCTAAAGCCAGAAGCCAGGAGCTTCATTTGGTTTCCCAAAGGGGTGGCAGGGGGCTGTCTTCCTGGGCCATCTTCCACTGCTCTCCAACGCACATTAGCAGGGACCTGGATTGGAGGTGGAACAGCTGGGTCTTGAACTGGGGCCCATATGGGATGCCAGTGTTGCAGGTGACAGCTTAACCCACTGTGTCACAACACTGGCCCCATAATGACTTCTAAGATAGGACTCCTTTTAGGATTTTTTTCTACAACTGGGCTAGTGGCGATGGATTCTTTGATTTGTGCCTGTCTAAGAAATACTTTGTCTTTCACTTATAAAGAATAGCTTTGCTAGATAATAATATTCTTGATTGGAAGTTTTCTTTCAAGACATTGACAATATTATCCAACTCTCCTCTGGCCTCTAGGGTTTCTGTTGAGAAATCTGCTGTTAGTCTAAAGGGTTTTCCTAGGCCAGTGCCACGGCTCAATAGGCTAATCCTCCACCTTGCGGCGCTGGCACACTGGGTTCTAGTCCCAGTCGGGGCACCGGATTCTGTCCCGGTTGCCCCTCTTCCAGGCCAGCTCTCTGCTGTGGCCAGGGAGTGCAGTGGAGGATGGCCCAAGTGCTTGGGCCCTGCACCCGCATGGGAGACCAGGAGAAGCACCTGGCTCCTGCCTTCGGATCAGTGCGGTGCGCCGGCCGCGGTGGCCATTGGAGTGTGAACCAACAGCAAAAAGGAAGACCTTTCTCTCTGTCTCTCTCTCTCACTGTCCACTCTGCCTGTCAAAAAAATAAATAAATTAAAATACAAAAAAAAATAAAGGGTTTTCCTTTATATGTAACTTGATGTTTTCTTCTGTCTTTAGGATTCTCTCCTTCTTAGCTTTTGAAAATTTGACTATAATATACCTTGAAGAAAGTGTTTTTTGGTTGAGGCTGGTTTGGGTCCTGAATATGTCTGGTTTAACTTCTTATATCTTGATGCCCCCATCTCTTTCAAGACTTGGGGTGGGGAACAGGGCGCAGTTGTGGCAAAATGGATTAAGCTACTTGTGTAATGCCAGCATCCCATATCAAAGCCCTCTAGTTCTGATTGCTTGCTTCTGATCCAGCTGTCTGGTAATGTGCCTGGGAAAGCAGTGGAATATGGACCAACTACTTAGGCCTCTGCACCCACAAGGGAGACCTGGGTGGAGTACCAGGCTCCTGGTTTCAGCCTGGCCCAGCCCTTGCTGCTGTAGCCATTTGGGAAATGAACCAGTAGAAGGAAGAGCTGTTCCTCTCTCCATCTCTCTCTTTCTCTCTGTTACTGTACCTTTCAAATAAATATAATATGTCTTTAGGGGTCAGCGCTGTGGTGCAGCAGATTAAATCCCTGGCCTGCAGTGACGACATCCTGTATGGGTGCTGGTTCAAGTTCTGGCTGCTCCGCTTCCAATCCAGCTCTCTGCTATAGCCTGCTAAAGCAGTAGATGATGACCCAAGTCCTTGGGCCCCTGTACTCACATGGGAGACCCGGAAGAAGCTCCTGGCTCCTGGCTTTTGATTGGCCCAGCTCTCACCATTTGCAGCCGTTTGGGGAGTGAACTAATGGATGGAAGATCTCTTTCTCTCTACCTCTTCCTCTCTGTAACTATGCCTTTAAATAAATACATCTTTAAAATATACATATATATATCCTTAAAATAATAATAATAAATTTTATTAGGTAGATTATCAATGCCTATTTCCTTCTGTTCTTCAGGTGTTTCCAGAATACAAATATTTGTTCACCTAAAGGGATCCAATATGACTCTACAGACTGTCTTCATTCTTTTTAATTCTTTTCTCTTTATTTCTATCTGGCTGAGTTATTTCATATTTCTTGTCCTCAGGATCAGAAATTCTTTCTTTTGCTTGGTCTATTATGTTGTTGAATCTCTCAAACTTACTTTTTATTTCATTTATTAAGTTTTTCAGCTTCAGAATTCCTGATTGATGCTTTTAAATCATTTCTGTCACTCTGTATTTCTCATGTCTTACATTGTTTTCCTCATTTCTTTGAATTGTCTGTCTGAATTCTCATACATATCATTGAATTTCCTTAAGATCATTATTTTGAATTCTTTTTTAGGCACATCATAGATTTCTTTCAAATCAGGATCTAGTTCTGGGGAGCTATGCTGTTCCTTTGGAGGTGTCATGCTCCCTTGCTCCTTCATGTTTCTCCTGTCCCTACGTTGATACCTGCATACCTGATACAGCAGTTCATTTTTCATTATGGAGTAGTTTTCATTGGAAAAGACTTTTTTGTTTAGATGAAATGTGTGGTGTCAGTGTGAGATTTCTTTGGCATTGATTCTAGATTAGCTCAGAATCCTAACCTATGAGGGGGTTCTTCATCTCTAATCGGTGTCAGCAGTGTCTGGGAGTGCCACAGTTGTCCCTCTTGCAGTGGTCTTGGAGGTAGTTGTTTGTCTTTGAAGTGGCAATGAATTTCCAAAGCTGCGTGTCTTCAGTCCCCAGAGAGCTGGGTGTCCGTCACACTGCAGTTTGTGATTTCTGGATCCTCATTCCTGATGCTGTGGAACACCTAGAGTTCTATCACCTTGTCTCGTTGGGCAGACCTGACTGATGCTGGGGCTTCTGCCCAGTAATCCCACAGAAGCTGGTGCAGAGGAATCTGCTCTCTGCTGTGGCTCTGACTGTGGGCTTCTGGTGGTGATGGGGTACTGGCTGTCCTCTAAGACAGAGTGCAGCTTAGCAGCAGCTGTTCCACAGTAGCACAGGTCTGGGCCTTTGGGGCCAGAGGGAGGCAATGTGTGTTGTTTTCTTGAAACAGAGAAGTCACTTAGTCCCTAGTCAGGTTTTTTTTTTTTTTTTTTTAAGATTTATTTATTTGAAAGGCAGAGTTCCAGAGAGACAGAGGCAGAGAGAGAAAGAGAGATCTTCCATTTGCTGGTTCACTCCCCAGATGGCCGCAATGGCTGGAGCTGGGCCGATTTGAAGCCAGGAGCCTGGAGCTTCTTCTGGGTCACCCATGTGGGTGCAGGAGCCTAAGGACTTGGGCCATCTTCTGCTTTCCCAGGGCTTAGCAGAGAGCTGGATTGGAAGTGGAGCAGCCGGGACTTGAACTGGCACCCATATGGGATGCAGGCACTGCAGGTGGCAGCCTTACCCTCTATGCCACAGAACTGACCCCCCTTGTGAGTTTTTTAGACTGGATTTAAAGTCATTGAGAACTATGGGATTCTTTCACAGTTAGGGCTGCTGGTCTGCCATGATGGTGGGGGTTGTGGAGCTTTCTATTTAACATTTTTCTTGCAAGATGGAGCCCTGCCCTGGCTTGAGAGCCAGGTAGGAGTTACAGTATGCATTGGTTCTCTCTCTCTGCTAGCTTTTAGAGTTTCGGTGGTTTAGAGTTCCCTCCCTCCCTCCCTCCCTCCCTCCCTCCCTTCCTTCCTTCTTTCTTTTATGATTTATTTATTTGTTTGAAAGGCAAAGTTACAGAGAAAGAAGGAAAGACAGAGAGAGAGAGAGAGAGAGAGAGAGAGCTAGCTAGCTTCTGTTCTCTGGGTTCATTTCCCAAATGGCCACAGTGGCCAGGGTTAGGTCAAGCTGAAGCCAGGAGCTAGAAGCTTTATCTGCATCTCTCACATGGGTGCAGGAACCAAAGTGCTTGGACCATCTTCTGTGGCTTTCCCAGGCACATTAGTAGGGAGCTGAGTTGGAAGTGGAGCATCTGGGACTCCAGCTGGTGCCTGTTTGGGATGCCAGCATTGCAGGTTGTGGCTTAACCCATATGCCACTGTGGCTTCAATGCTATGCCGCAGTGGCAGCTCCTCTCATTACTTCTTTCCTGAACTTTTCCCTCAGTCCTTTTCCTGGGATCATGGTCCTTCCTTGGTTGCTCTGGTTCTTCTCTGTGGTAGAGGCAAGTGCAGGGCCTCTGTCCACCATCTTGGCTCCATGCTACACCTATTCTTGGACTTATTGTCTGTGGCTGCTTTTGTCCTGCAGCCAGAGTTGAGTACTTGTGACAGAGACCTAATTGTTTGCAATGTCTATGATATTTTTTATCTGGACCTTCATAGAAAAATTTGCTGACCCTTAATTTTGTACCAGATTTCATCCATGTACACCTGCAGTACTTTAGTTTCTCAAAGTGCTTTACCTACCTCTTCTATTTTGTCTTTATAACTTGTATACACGTGAGTGAACCCATGTGAGTATGTGTATTGGTAAATGCACATGTGTGTGAATTTAGGACCCAGAAAATCCACAAATAAGTATCTTACTAGAGCAAAGAAGAGAAGGTTTGCTGTGTTCCGTCCACACTGTCTTAAGAGAGTTAGTCTTTGTGATTTTCTGCTCTCTTCTCTATCCCAGACCAATTTTCTGTCAGCCCATTCAGCAAGGGATGAGGCAGCAAGGCTGGAAGAGCGCAGGGGTGTGATTGAATTTCACGTGGTTGGCAATTCCCTGAACCAAAAGCCGAACAAGAGGATCCTGATGTGGCTGGTCGGCCTGCAGAATGTGTTCTCCCATCAGCTGCCCCGAATGCCAAAAGAGTATATCACGCGGCTCGTCTTTGACCCGTAAGTTTTGTGTTAGCTCTTCCTCCTTCTTTGTTTCCTTTTACAATGGAAGACAAACTACTTAGATGGTGAAAGTCTGCCACAGTCTCCCACAGAAGTCTCTTCTCCCTCCTGCGATGATGTGCTGTGGAGTTTCATCAAGCTGATTTTCATGTCAAAAGGTACTGCAGTTGATTTCCCCACAATTTACACATTTTTCTTTTATAAATATTTATTTATTTGAAAGGCAGGAAGACAGAGAAAAAGAGAGAGAGAGAGATATCTTCCATCACGGTTTACTTCCCACATGGCCACAAATATTTGTTCACTTTATAGAACTCCATGCAGGTCTCCATGAGTGTCTGGTGCCCAATTACTTGGGCCATCTTCTGCTTCTTTCCCATGCACATTAGCATACAGCTGGGTCAGAAGCTGGACAGCTGGGACTTTAACCAGCACTCCCATATCAGATGCCAGCATCTCAGGCAGTGGTTTAATGGGCTGTGCCACAACTCCAGCCTCTATAATTTCTTGTTAATGATAATGAAGCTTTATATTTTAAGTTTTTTGGTGACTATGCTGTGTTCGTTTACTATAGAGTAGAGAGAACTACACACTAAGACGATATCCCACTTTTTTTTTTTTTTAACTTTTATTTAATGAATATACGTTTCCAAAGTACGAATAATGGATTACTATGGCTTCCCCCCCATACCGTCCCTCCCACCCACAACCCTCCCCTTTCCCACTCCCTCTCCCCTTCCATTCACATCAAGATTCATTTTAGATTATCTTAATATACAGAAGATCAGCTTAGTATACATTAAGTAAGGATTTCAACAGTTTGCTCCCACACAAAAACATAAAGTGAAAAATAATAGATGATTTTTTTTAATGATGATGAAATCAGATCAGACCTATTGTCATGTTTAATCCCAGTGAGAGTCAAGTTGGGAGTTGATAGTTCTTTCTTTCTTTCTTTCTTTTCTTTTCTTTTTTTTTTTTTCTTTTTTTCTATTCACAGAGGATCAGTTTAGTATGCATTAAGTAAAGATTTCAACAGTTTGCACCCCCATAGAAACACAAAGTGAAATATATTATTTGAGTACTCGTTATAGCATTAAATCTCAATGCACAGCACATTAAGGACAGAGATCCTACATGAGGAGTAAGTGCACAGTGACTCCTGTTGTTTACTTTACCAATTGACACTCCTGTCTATGGCATCAGTAATCTCCCTATGCTCCAGTCATGAGTTTCCAAGGCTATGGAAGCCCCTTGAGTTCTCCGACTCTTACTTTTTTTTTTTTTTAATAGTCAAAAGGCTTCTAGTTTTAATACCTTAACTAGGTTTCATTGTTGCCCATATTGGTAACAGTTGGGAAAATTATTGAGAAATAAGTCAAATTAACTCTGCAAATCCATTGTTTTAAATTTTTTTTTAAAACCCTAAACCCCAAATTGATTTATTTAAATGTATTTTGACATATATAGCTCAACAGCCTGTGTGGACTCTGATCTTCTTGTGTGACAATTCAGAATGATACTTGAGACAGAGAGAGGGTCTGATGGGGGTCTGGCAAACTGTACATGTGAATTTCATATTCTTCCATATTGTTTCTGTAATATTTTTGACTAAGGCTAAACTTGTCGAGGACATGTGTTTGACCATTGCTTCATGTCCGCCCCTGACCTCCCACCCTGGGGTCCTTGGTGTGGGGGCTGCCAGTGCCACAGTACTCCTCTGTTCTCTATCTGTAAGCTGCAGATGGTTCCTAGGTGACTGGTGTTTTGTTGTGGTGGGCACTGTGAAGAAGGCTTGTGCTGGCAAGCTTGATCTAAGAAGCCCAGAATAAAGGATGGTCTAACAAGATAGTGACCAGATGAAGGCATACCCCTAAAAATATATTTCTGTAATGTGGATAGTAAAACTTTAATGTAATTTTATTCTTTTCAGGAAACACAAAACCCTCGCTTTAATTAAAGATGGCCGTGTTATTGGTGGTATATGTTTCCGTATGTTCCCATCCCAAGGATTCACAGAGATTGTTTTCTGTGCTGTAACTTCAAATGAACAAGTCAAGGTAAGAGTAATCCAAGGTCTCAGAAGAAGAGGAGAACGTGGGGCTTCTTGCTAGAGCTGCAGAGCTTGGGAAGTTCTCTGTGCTGTGTCCAGAGAGGGCTCCAGTAGAATTCAGGACTACACTCACTGCAAGTATATGGATGTGTTATGTGAGAATAGGTGGCTCCACACACCACTAAGTAAGGCTGTACCGTGGCTTTGTTGGACCTTGGGGCAAGGTACAGGGAAACTGTATAACCCAATGTGAAATTTACATGTAATTCAGCAAATGAAAGGATATTTGAAATAAAGCTCAGTTTTCATTTTCATTGTCAGTTTACACACACACACACACACAACTGGTAACACTGAATCATTAGAAAGGGTATAATTGATGTGGACTAGGATAAAAATTTGGCCAGTTTACACTTCACAAAGATTTCTTAAGACTTTGTCCCTTGTCTGTAAAGGGGAGTTGTGGAAAATTTGCATAAGTTTATGATTAAATTTTAGAGTATTCATGGAGGTTTTGGCATGCGCTGGAATTTTTTTTAAATTTGCTTTCTTGTTTTGTTTCTTTTTCATGTCATGGTTTACCTTCCCAATAGTTCTTGGCATGAGTCCCTCCCTGGGAACTGTAGCTATGATTTAATGTTTTTTTTTTTTTCTTAAGATTTATTTATTTACTTGAAAGACAGAGTAACAAATACACAGAAAGAGAGAGAGAGAGAGACAGAGATAGAGGCAGAGACAGAAAGAGGTCTTTCATCCTGTGGTTCACTCCCCAAATAGCTGTAACAGCTGGAGCTCCGTGCCGCAGGCAGGAGCCCGGAACCCCACCCAGGTCTCCCATCTGAGTGGCAGGTTCAAATCAAGTGGATTTTACCCTTCTAGCACCCTTCACCTTGGACTAGCCACAGTTCAGGTGCTGGCAGAGATGCCAGAATTGAAACAATGCAGGTTTAAGGATATCTTTGGCTCCTTCGCCTTCAAAGAAGCAATGCTATTTACATAAACCAAAAATAAGTCACTGAAAGGAATTATTCCTGTACTTGAGGGTGACAACCAATGCAGTTGGTACTTTTGCTTTCATTAGTGGCTTTTTTTTCTCAAGTCACAGTGCCAAGTACAGCTGCTGTGATGTATTTTTTCTCACAAAGCACAAGTGGAGCTTTTTGTCTTTGACTTCTAGCATTAAGTACCAAAAGGCAAATGCGATTCAGCAGCCTTACGTTTATCATTCTGACTGGAGCAGTAAAGACCCACGTTTGCGTGAAACGGATCTCTGGCTTCTTTTCAAGGAATTCTGACAGTATGTCTTTAGATGGTGCTGTTGCTGTATTTATCATTTTTTCTCCTTAACCAAAATGAAAGTGTCCAAATGTCCAAATCTTTCCAAATATAGAGTGTTTAGGGCCCTACTTAAAGGACAATTTTGTTTGAGTTTTCATGGAGTGAAGACTTGGGAAATATGCCATTGCTTTGTAATTTTGGGAAAAGTTTACATAGTTTTTGTTTTCAATGATAGCTACACCAGGCTCCTTGTTTGGAAAGGTTGATTAAGGTTGACTTGGACACTTCTAGGGATACTGCAGGAAACCGAAGGTATTTACTATGAATTGGATACTTTGTCTTTTTACTTCCCAGAAGGGCAATTTATTTTTTTTTTCTCTCAAACCACGTAATTTTCTAAAGACTTGAAGGAAGGTGGCCAAACAACACAAACTCAGTAGGAAGAGCTGGACAAAAAATAACTTTTTATGACTCAAAATTTCAGTTTTAGAAAATGAAGATTAGTTTTTCAAAACCAAATAGAGTGAATGGGTTTGATGAAAATCATATATATGGTTACTTCAAAAGGTTCATGGAAAATGGCATTAAAAGTTAAGTTTATTTTAATGCAAAAATTTTGGAAACCTATGTATGTGAGAGGTGTTCAAAAAGTTCATGGAAACTGTATATCATAAAAAATCTACACATGGATTTCAAACTATTTTAACCAAAATAAACTTTACATTTTAAAAACATTTAACAGACATTTATGTATATTTATTTAAAAGACAGAGAAAGAATGAGTTACCATCTGCTAGTTCACTCTCAAACACCCACAGGGGCCAAGATTGGGCAGGGCTGAAGCTGGGTGCCAGGAGAGCTGTCAGGCCTCCCACATGGGTGGCAGGGACACAGTTGCCTGAGTCATCACCACTGCCTCCCAGGGTCCTCACTGGTAGGAAGTTTGAGTTAGGAGCTGGAGCCAGGAATCAAACCTACTCCAATGCAAGATACAGATGTCTTAACCAGTGCACTGAATGCTTGGTTGTTATGCTTATCTTTTTATTCCATTTTCTATAAACCTTCTGAAATTCCCTTGTATGTGTTTATGGATTCATGTTATGAGGCACCTATTGTTTAGTAGGATTAAGAATGGGAAAAACTGTTCTTTCATTAATTTCCTGATCTCTTTTCAGTGTTCTGTCATTAGTTAATGATTAGTGAACAACTCTTGGGATATGGTACTGCCCTTCATGGTTAGGGGAGATCTTAAAACTGTTCATAGAAATGAAGCATGTACTATGAAAAACCTCTGCATGAATTTTGCTCTTTTTCATCAAAATGAACTTATTTTTTAAACCCAGTTTTTCATGAATTTTTAAAGTTTTTTTGTATATTTTCATAGCATAGGTCTAAGATAAAGATTAGAGCTTTACCAACTCATCAGTTATAGACAGATAGAGGCCCGTCTCCAATACTGAGTGAAACTGAATGAGTCCCAGTGGCAGTAGCACATAATTTTGAAAAACCATAAAGTAATAGGTAGAGGTTTTAAATGTTTATTTGCTATATTAAAAGCCTTGACTAACGGGTACTTTAGAATTTGTACCCAGTCATTTTTGAGAATCAAACTTATTTAAAAATTCTTATGAATGTTTTCAGTTAGAATCATATTTGAATTTATCTTGCTCAAGGCACTCACAAGACAACATTTTAGAATTTACTTGAAGCTCCTTACTGGTTATAGACTATCTTGTCTTGTAAAAAGTATTTAGTTTTGATATTATACACAACATTACCATTACTTCACCAATACTTGTTTCCTTTAGTAAGTATTTAAATAAACCCTAAAGTTACTGGATAGATTTGGAAAAAGAATCTTTTGAGTAACAGTTAAAAATAGATACACAAGCAAGGGAAATACAAGCAGTTTTGGGGTTAGAATCTAAACGTTTGCTTATAATAGCTTTCTGTTGTCAGTGCCTGTGTAATCAAGGAGATGTTCAAGCTGCCACTACTGCCGGTCACAGTGCTAAATGCAGAGGAAGTTCAAGTTAAAAGTCATAGCCCCTACTCGAAAGGACGTTGGAATCTGGAAAATTTCTTTGGAGAAGTGACAAAGTAGTAGCCAGTAATGCAAAATATCTTATGCAAGTTTTGAGCTGCTATTTATTAAAGAGTTATCATTGTTCTTAAATAAAATTAATTGGATTGTGGATAAGGAAAAGAAATAATAGTTCTATGAACTCCTTATGAGATAGTGCATACCAACAAAACCCTACCTCCTGTGTCATCCTACATCTTTGTTAAATTGAATTTCATCAGAAGACATATTTCTTATTGATTTCTAGATACTGCTTTTCCCTATATGTGCAATTCTCTCCAGCTCACCAACTTTCTCCTTTCCTCCAGCTAAAATTTTTTTCTTTAAAAATAATTTCTAATTACAGAAGTCACGTACAGATAAAGTAAAAATCCTATTCACCCTTGCCCCTGCCACTCTGCTGCTGTTGGTGTGCATCCTTCCAGGTGCTTCTGTATTCATGTTTGTAACTGGAATGCACCTGTACCTAAAAGGTGGATGTGTTGTTATTTACATAATGAAATTTATTCCATATATATTGCCATGATACAAAAATGATCTATTTATTTGAAAGTCTGAGTGGCAAAGAGGAAACCAGAGAGAGAAAGAAAAAGAGATGTGGTGGTGGGAGAAAATCTTATATCTGTTTGTTCATTACCCAAATGGCTACAAGGACTGCAGCTGGGCCAACCTGAAGCCTGGAGCCAGGTTCTCCACCTGGGTCTCCCACATGGGCGCATTTTCTGTTGTGTTCCCGAGTGCATTAGCAGGGAGCTGGATCAGAAGCAGAGCAGCCACATGGTGCTCCAACATGATATTTCAGCATTGTGGTGGAGGCTTAATCTGCTGTGCCACAATGGCCTCCCGCCCCCCAGTCTAAATTAAAAAAATAAAAAGTTCCAATTTCCCTCTCAGGCCCAACAATTTACATTTTCACTGATGTTCTTAGAGAGTGTCATTTCCTCCATTTTTGCTGGAACTGAGTGCCTTTACCCTCAAAGATGCTTTCGCAGGGTTGGGTGAAATATTTCTTCTCGCAGTAGTGCTCTGATTACTATTGAGATTGAACATATTTTTTACATTTCCTGGATATATTTTTTCTTGTGCCTATCCTTTGATGGTTATCTTAGGTTCTCTCTTTTTTTAAAAATTGATCCTATAGAAGATGTTTACGTATTCATGATATTAAATCTTTGTGAAAATGTTGCAACTACATCTCAGTTTTTCATTTATCTTTTATTTATTGTATCTTAAATTGTTTATGGTATCTTGAAGCAGTTTTAAAATTTGAAATACTCTTCTTAGTATCTGTCTCCTACCCTTATTTTCCATTTCATGAAAAGTCTTACAGTCTAGCTTCAGCATCTTTTTCTTCTTCTATTTCCTTTCATTCACTCACTTAATTATCTTGTGACTTTTTCCCACAGCTATAGGTACAGATATATCATTCTTCAACAATACTATGCAATAAAAATATAATGCAGGCCTCAAATGCAAGTTATATATGTAATTTAAAATTTATACTGGGCAGGTGTTTGGTTCAAAACACATCCCATATCAGATTGAGTACTGCCTCTTCTGCTTCTCATCCAGCTTCCTGCATGTGCACAACCAGGGAGCAGCAAATAATGCCTCAAGTACTGGGGTTCCAGACTCCCACGTGGGAGACTCAGATGGAGTTCTGGACTCCTGGCTTTGGCCTGACCCAGCACTGGCTGCTGCAGGCATTTGGGGAGTGAACCAGCAGATGGACGATCTATCTCTATCCATCATTCTGCTCCCCGCCCCCCCCCCAAAAGAAAATCTAGTAGGTACAAAGTAAAAAGAAATAGGTGGAACTAATTTTACTTTTTAAAAAAAGATTAATGTATTTATTTGAGAGGCAGGGCAGAGAGAGAGAGGTCTTTCATCCGCTGGTTCATTCCCCAGATAACCGCTATGGCAGAGCTGTACTGATCCGAAACCAGGAGCCAGGAGCCTCTCCCGGGTCTCCCATGCAGGTGCAGGGGCCCAAGGACCTGGGCCACCCTCTAATGCTTTCCCAGGCCATAGCAGAGAGCTGGATTGGAAGTGGAGCAGCTGGGACTCAAACCAGCACCTATATGGGATGCCGGCACTGCAGGCGGTAGCTTTACCTGCTATGCCACAGTGCTGGCCCCTATTTTACACCTTAACAAATTGCCCAAACATTTCAACATATAATAAATATCTTATTAATAATGAGATTTTTTTCCTTGAAGATTTTTTTTCTTTTTGACAGGCAGAGTTCGATAGTGAGAGAGACAGAGAGAAAGGTCTTCCTTCCGTCGGTTCACCCCCCCAAATGGCTGCTACAGCCGGCGTGCTGCACTGATCCGAAGCCAGGAGCCAGCCCATGCAGGTTGCAGGGCCCAAGCACACTCTCACTGTCCACTCTGCCTGTCCAAAAAAAAAAAAAAAAAAAAAAAAAAAAACAACAAGAGGTCAGATCTTGGGAAGATATTAGGAAGAACTTTCAACTATACAGATCCCAAAAATGAATTGTTCTAGCTTAGGATCAAGTGACTGCCCTACAGTAGAGAGATTCTAGCAGATCTTTTTGTGACAGTTGACAAAATACTGCTAGCCTCACATGGGATAGAGAGTTGAACTAAATGAGTTCCAAAAATTGTGCCCTTTAGGTACTATGATTCCATGACATCATACCTGTGAGTACTTTTGAGTTTTTTTGAAAAAATGCATCAACAAATTACAGACCATCTATGTGCAGATAGTAACATCTGGATGCTTAGATTTAACTTTTTTTTTCCTGAGGCTTATAAATAATCATATTAAATTGATAAATTTTCTCTAAGCTATGCATGCCATTGAGAAAACTGGGACTTGCATTTTGTTTTCATCTATCAATCACTAATTTATTTAGCATTGTTCTTTGCTTTTTGTTAATTCCTGAAGTTGTCTAGCTGACTCAGAGATTCTGGGTTTCTCAGGCCTTGCTGAGAAAGGTCTCATAAAACTAAGCTGAATATCCTATGTGATGATACAATTCTTCAGGAGGTTTGCTGATTTGTGGCGCATTGTAAACAGGTGGATTAGTAAATAATCTTATGAGGATTAGCACTTTTTATTTACATAGTTCTTTTCATCTTATGTATACAGGTACTTGAAAGATAAGAAGAAATTCATGATCAACATTTACCCAGAAACTCCTAGATTAGTGTTCAGCAAGTAATCTATAGGAACAGACTGGCAGTTTCTAACTTTGGTGTGTTATTTTCCAAGAACTAAAAGCTTCTACTTTCAAATGTTGATTCTTATCTCTGATTAAGAACTTGGAATCTTTTGCTTTTGTAGTTCATTTTAAAAGTTCAGAAATGCAACAAAGGTGGTTAGTACTATATTTCCTTCAGGGATGACCCTGGCTGGTAAAATATATAATAATCACAAACTCTTAAGTTTGCTGACATTCCTGATGGATTTGTAGGGATTTCTTTTCTCCAGAACCTAATGTATTTATCCGTATGCTAACTTCTACACAGGGCTATGGAACACATCTGATGAATCATTTGAAAGAATATCATATAAAACATGACATCCTGAACTTTCTCACATATGCAGATGAATATGCAATTGGATACTTTAAGAAACAGGTAGGTTTCTAACTGTGCAACACTGCTCTGTCTTTCCTTTGTTTAATATGCACTCAGGGAGCCTTCATGCGACAGATGTTTCCCCCGAGTGTTTCCTACTTAGGAGAAGGACATATTTGTTTTGTAAATCCTATGCCACAAATAAACCTGAGACTGGATTAGAGAGTATAGTTGATATATAGTGATTTGTTCCTTAATTGCCATGTAAAAGTGAAGTACAATAGTGCATCTTGACATATCAGAATATGGTATTCCCAGTCCTGGGTTGGTAGAGTCCTCCACGAATGAGAGAAACAACGCAGTGTCTGCCAACCCTGTCTGTATAACAGCTGAGGAAAGTCTTGAAAGTTAAAGTGGGCCACAGACCATCCTGGTTCCATAGCACGTAGCAGTCTGGGAGCTTTGCTGCTACCTTAGTACTTGCTTATCAGAAGTTTTCAGCTTAGCCTTTTTAGGAATATTCTTTGGCTGCATGTTATTTTTAACAGTGACTTATAATTCCATTTATTTTTCTAACGACAAAAGTTATAGTTATTGTAGAAATTTTGGAGTATGTAATGCACAAAGAACAGAAAAATTGGTTGCAGTTTATTATCCAAAAAATTTTAGTTGACCTTTTTTTAAATTTTTTTTAGATTTATTTATTTACTTGAAAGTCAGAGTTACACTAAGAAGGAGAGGCAGAGAGAGAGAGAGAGGGGGGTCTTCCACCTGCTGGTTTATTCCCCAGCTGGTCACAATAGCTAGAGCTGTGCCAATTCAAAGCCAGGAGCTGGGATCTTACTCCAGGTCGCCCACGCGGGTGCAGAGGCCCAAGAACTTGTTCTACGGCTTTCCCAGGCCATAGCAGAGAGCCGGATCGAAAGAGGAGCAGCTGGGATTTGAACTGGCACCCATATGGGATGCTGGCACTGCAGGCAGCGACTTTACCCCTCGCCACAGCACTGGCCACTTGGTTAACCTTTTGATATATAGATTTCTTATATTTTTTCTTATCTGTAAATGTATATATATAAATTGGCTCATACTGTGTATATAACTTAGTTACAGATCTTTTCATTTAATGTTTTTGCCATTTTTACACATAATTTTTATGGTATCCTGGGATTCATATAGAGAATAATTTATTTCCCCAATACCACATTTTTAGATGTCTGTGTTTTTAGTATGTAAATATACATGTGTGCATGTGTGTGTATATATGATTTACCATCACTAATGGTTATTTGCTTAGAGTGAATGTCTAGAAGTAGAGTTATTTCCAAACTTTTAAGTTTTTTTGTTATGTATTGCCAAATACGGGAACAATTTCTATTCTTGTCTGCAGAATATAAGGGAGCTCAGGAAAGGACATGATAATTGAAAAAAAAATAATTTTTACTCCCTTTTCCAAATAGCAAATTATGTATTTGACTTTATTTGATCATAGTGAGATTTGGTTTATTTTTCCATGTTTATTGACCCTTTGAATTTCTACCTTTTTTTTTTAAGATTTCATTTTTTTTTATTTGAGAGGCAGTTAGAGAGAGGGAAAGACAGAGAGAAAAGTCTTCCATTTACTGGTTCACTCCTCAAATGGCTGCAACAGCTAGAGCTTGGCTGATCTGAAGCCGGGAGCCAGGAGCATCTTCAGGTCTCCCATGTGGGTGCAGGGGCCTAAGCACTTGGCCATCTTCCGCCGCATTTCCAGGCCATAAACAGAGAGCTGGATCAGAAGAGGAGCAGCTGGGACACAAACTGGCGCCTGTATGGGATGCTGGCACTGCAGGCGGAGGCTTAGCCTACTACTCAACAGCTCTGGCCCCTGAATTTCTACTTTTTTTGAATTGCCAGTTCATTATTATATTTTGTCCCTTTTTCTATTAAAATGTTTTTATATTGATTTATAACAGCTTTTGTATAGTGATATTAGCTTTTTATATTCATTCATATTTGCTTGTGGATTGGTTTTTAATCCAGAGAATTTTAAAGGTTTTATACATAAAGCTCATTGACTTCTTTAATTATATTCCTAAAATAAATAAAATAAAAATAAATAAATTTTTTATTCCTTGAATAAATTTTCTGATGGCAGAAAATTAATCTCCTTGTTTTCTTCTCAGTCTTTTTTTTTTTTTTAAAGATTTATTTTGTTTATTTGAAAGAGTTAGAGAGAGAGAGAGGTCTTCCATCTGCTGGTGTGCTTCCCAAATGGCCACAATGGCAGGAGCTGAGCTAATCAGAAGTTAGGAGCCAGGAGCTTCTTCCTGGTCTCCCACATGGGTGCAGGTACCCAAAAACTGGGGTCATCCTCTGCTGCTTTTCCAGGCACATTAGCTGGACTCTGGATCAGAAGTGGAGCAGTTGGGACTCGAACTGGCACCCCATATGGGATGCTGGTGTTGCAGGCTGGGGCTTTAACCTGCTGCGCCATAGTGCTGGCCCCTCTTCTCATTTTTTGGGATGTCTTTATGACTGTTATGTTTATTATTGCAACTTTCTTTTCTTTTTTTGTTTGTGTTTGTCAGCCTTTCTAGACTGTAATTACATTGCAAAGCCTGATTCCTTCTTTTTTTTTTTTAATTTGACAACTTTTTAAGTGACTTGTCTGTAGTCCTCTTTGATGATGATGGCAATAATTACTTGGAAAATAAGGTTTTGCTGAAAGTAAGGTAGGAAACAAACTGCTAGTGATAGTTTTGAAGTTCAAATAATTTTCTGCAAGTAACTGAAATAAATGCCTTAAGAAAAATTCTGTTTATATTGTAAATTATTATTTGAATTTTTCAGTGTCATGCCCTGAAGTACGCTGTTGTTTCAGCTTAAAGGATGTTCATGAGTATATTGCAAGGCATTAATGTCACTGAATCAGCCGTAAATTATGACAGCTTTTACCTACAGAGAAGAGGTTTCATTTTTTCAGCATTAAGGTTCTAGCTGCAATATATTTTTTAACGTTTATTTGTTTATTTGAAAGGTAGATTAGAGAGAGAGAGAGAGAGAGGGGTAGAGACAGAGAGAGAAAACTCTTCCATCTGCTGGTTCACTCACTCCCCAAATGGCCACAATAGCCAGGGCTAGACTGATCCAAAGCCAGGAGCCAGATCTTCTTCTGGGTCTCCCATATGTGTGCAGGGGCCCAAATACTTGGGCCATCTTGCACTGCTTTTCCCAGGCCATTGGCAGGGAGTTGGATTAGGAGTGGAGCATCTGGGACTTGAACTGGCACCCATATAAGATGCTGGGGTCACAGGCAGTGGCTTTACCCACTGCCCTGACCCCTTGCAACATTTTTTGACAATCTTTTGTTTTAGAGTGTCCATAAATGTTACTGACTTGTTAAGAATCTGAGTAAATTCCAACGGCCAGGCAGCAGGTCAAGCTGACTCTTAGAAAGCCAGCATCCCATATCTGAGCGCTGGTTCAAGTCCTGGCTGCTCTGCTTCCAATCTAATTCTCTGCTAATGAGCCTGGGAAGACAGCAGAGGATGACCCTAGTATGAGAGACCTGGGGTTTCGGGTTCCTGGCTTCAGCCTGGCCCAGCCCTGATGATTTTGGACATTTAGGGAGTGAACCAGTAGATGGAAGATCTTTTTCTCTTTGTCTCTCCCTCATTCTCTCCCTCTGCCTTTCAAGTAAATATGTATTAAAAAAAATAAAAAGTCTGAGTAACTCCCATAATACATTTTTGGGGGAAAATTTGCATTTTCCATATTTATTATGTAGTTGAATGCAAAGTTAAACCCAATCTTTACTTAACACTGGTTCCTGTTTTAAACCTTAAAAATTATTTGTTTTATTAGTATCACTTTTATGTTGTCTTGCTTTCTATTTGCATAGTTTGATTTCTGATGTTTTTGAACTTCATGAGTGAAGCTAATCTTTTCAGATTAGTAGGAGGAGACTTTGAAAGAAACATGTTTTGATGCCTATGCCTGGCACGCAGCACTCAGGAGATATTTGATGCACAGTGTCCATATGAATGGATTTATTGTCTTTGCAGGGTTTCTCCAAAGAAATTAAAATACCTAAAGCCAAATATGTTGGCTACATTAAGGATTATGAAGGAGCCACTTTAATGGGATGTGAGCTAAATCCTCGGATCCCATATACAGAATTTTCTGTGATCATTAAAAAGCAGAAAGAGGTAAGCGAGTGATGGATGTATGTTTCTTACAGCCTCATCTTAGGGGTGGTGTGATGCATTCCTTGGTATTTGTGCATTTGTTGAGTGCACATCATAATCTGTTTGCTCTGGTTTATCTAGCTTTCTTCTTTAAAGACTTCCTGGATAGTCTCCTCTCCAGGTCACCATTCCTAAGATACTCAGCACTTGTGAAATTTGTGTAAAATGTAACATATAGCGGCATGTTTTAACTTTCGCTTCTTCCCGATCAGCTCTTTGCCTCCATCTCCAGTCTAGTGGCCATTACTGATGCTTTAACCGTCTTGCTTGATGTCTTCATCTGTTACCTACTCCTTTCATTCAACACACATGCAGATCAAGCCATTTCAGGCACTGCTGCCTTCCTCCTTTGAACTTCCCGAGCACTGCTTTGATCCATCTGTATGAATTTCACTTAATCATTTCACATAGACATTTATCTTAGTGTGCATTAATCTCTCTTTTCACCTTGTATATTCCGAAAGCTGCTACTTCTAGATATTTAAGTGATTTATTATCTGGTATGGGGTGACTCCTGCGTATGAAAAGACAAGTGGTAACAGGAAAGATTGACAGATTTTACATTTCTCTAAGGCAGAATAAAATTACCCTAAAAAGAGCATAATTGGAGAGTACACAGAGGCTGTTTGATTAAATGAATGACTTTTGTGTGTGAAGCCCAGGGTCATCTTCCTCCCACCCAGTGTGTTTGATTTCAGAAAACTGGGAGTTTGCATCTGTGTCATCCCACAGCTATCTCACTCGATACTTCTGTTATTTGTTTTAGTGTACTTTTCTCCAGCAAATAATTAAAGATGTCTGTCTTAAACCCATCTTTGTTTTCTGGTTTCTATTAACTACCATAATCCCAGTTCTCAGTTGCTTGTCAGGTGTTACCGACTTAGCCATGAAGCTCCTTACACGGTATCTGGTGAATAGTAGTTACTCATTAAGTCTTTGCCTTTTGCTTAAAACGGATTTGTGCTTAACGCTTCCCATGGAAGTGAGCAAAAAGCTTTCTTTTAAAATTAGAAAATAAAAACAACTTTTGTTGCCTTTTGGTCAAAGATGTCAGCCTCAGAGAGAATTCCAAATAAATAGAGTTAATAAAGCACAGCAGGCTCCCCTCTCTCCTTGTCTCCGTTGGAGGAGCCGGCTTTCCCCATTGTTCTCTGTGGGGCTTAATGAGTAGGTCTGGATTCAGCAGCACTTTGTTCAGCCTTAGAGGCTGCTGGCCAACTAAAGCCATCACTGTGCTGTCAGCTGCTGCTCTTTCCTCATTCCTCCTCCCAGCGGCACCAGCTCATCCCCACCGTGTTAACTGAGATTCTCTTGGCACAGCCTGAAAAATTCACAGTGCACACGGTGTGTCATCCCCCCCCCCCAATCCCCAATCCCCAAGGGGAAAGCCAGAGCTCAGAGCTATTTTAGATAGCTAACAAAGCAGTCAACTTTTTGGAAGACAATGCTTCCTCCTCGTTTTTTCTCTTCTGCTCAGATCCCTTCACCCCCCTCCCCCTCTCAGTCTTTGCCTCCAGCCTTTTCTTACAAACACCCTTGAATGGTTGATGGCAGTTTGGAGCTGTTAACCTAGTTCTTGTGAAAGAGATCTGAAGTCATCATAATAGTATATTTGGTTTCATGTGCAGGCCGAGTTCCCCTTATCTGAAATGATTGTGACCAGAAGTGTTTCAGATTTCAGAGGTTTTTTTTTGATTTTGTGATATTTGTGTACATTACTGATTGAGCAGCCCTAATCCAGATCTCCAGTATGTCTGCAATATGTCACAAAGTTTGACTGTGTCCCCTTAGAAAAAAATCACGTTGTTTCGCAACATCCTTACTTTGGCCCTTCCAAGTATAAGTCCTTTATAGTCCCCCATGTGACTTAAAATCTAGGAATTGGGGGCTGGTGTGGTGTAGCAGGTTAAGAGGCTGCCTCCTATGGATACCAGTTCGAGTCCTGGCAGCTCCACTACCAATCCAGCTCTCTGCTAACGCACCTGGGAAAGCTTTGGCGTATGGCCCGGTCCTTAGGCTCCTGCACCCAGGAGCTCCTGCCATCGGAGTATGGCCCAAGTCTTGGTTCCTGACTTTGTTCTGGCCCCACCCTGGCCATTGCAGCCATTTGGGGAGAAACTCAGCAGATCAAAGATCTCTCTCTCTCTTTCTGTGTACTTCCCTCCCCACCTCTGTAACTCTACCTTTCAAATAAGTAAATAAATCTTAAAAGAAAATTTAAGAATCATCCTCTTCCCCTTCTGTGCATATGCACACACACACTCAATTCCACCTGCTAATTGCCTCGTTACTTTCCCTACTGGTTTTTTCCATCATCCCCACACTTATGGTCCTTTCTATTCATGTGCCACAAATCGACTTATGTTGGACTTTACTCATGTTGGTTCCAATTCCAAGCTGTCTAGCTCAAAACAAATTCCCCAGGAAGCCACTGCAGGTGAACCAGCCTCTTATGTATCCCCTCCTTTCATTGGAGTCATCACTCATGAAGTAAAGCTTAACTCTCCACTCTCTGCTTCTCCTGTCCAACTGTACTGGTTTCCTGGCCATCTCCACTACTGACACTTACCACTGACTTGCTCTCATACACTCTGAGGGGCTGGGAAATAGAACTCATTTGCTACCCTCAACAGTTCCTCCTTCCTTAGAGTAGGGGTAGGGGTTGCAATTGGAATAAGTGATACTTGTAAAAATCATTTGAATACTGTGAAAGGTAAAATATCCCATTCTGTTTCTTGTTAGACTGTGTTGTAATGGTATTTTTATATAATGGGTTATGTAAAATACATTATTAAAATCAATTTCACCAATTTTGTTTTTACTCTTGCTTTAAACATGTCTACTAGAAAATTTTATATGTGAGTGACTCATTGGACAACACTGATACAGATTTACCAGGAATATACTTTTTTTTACTAGTTCCTTTTATTTTATGAAATTCTTTGTTTTACTATTAGGATTATTTATTCCTGCTGCAGTATGTTCTAGGCGTATGTTTGAAATCAAGGAACGAGGAGCTAGAATTTTTTATTTTTGTGAACTTGGTTAATGACTTCTGTTTTGTTTTTTCTTTTCCAAAATTTGGTTATGATATGGTTAATTTCAGGGTGGAGATTTTTGAAGTGTTTGAGTCAGGGAGGGGGGCAGGGAACTGCACTGCCTCATAAGTAATTGCCCTAGTACATTAGGAATTATTTACGCAACAAACCAAAACATCTGTCAAAATGCCCAGATTAGCCCTGGTGCCCCGTGTCCTGGTTGTGCTGTCTTAACACTTCGAGCTGCTTTTTTGATGCAGACAGAATAGCTTGGAAGGTTTAAATAACAGTGGGCTGTGACTGTTGCAGGCTGTCAGTGCTTTCTGAGGCTTTATACACCTGCTCCTTTAATCTGAAAGGGACAGATGCTCAATACAGGATTGGAAGGGGTTCTGTCGCTTGACTGGGTAGCAATGCTTAGGGCTGCTTCCCTGTAATTCTTGCAGAGGCTCCTCGGAGAAACAGGGCAAAATAATTGGCTCTTATGCTAAAGATGACAAGTGAGCCCTAGGGGCAGCATGTTCTCTCCACAGTGTCTTTTCTGGATGTCAGCAAGAAGTCATTTAGAGCAGTTGTGTGAATGTCATTAAATGGGCCTGGTGTAATAGAATGTTTTCATTTCTTACCTGTTAAATAGCATTTACTCTTTTCTCCCATAAAATATTTTTATTTTGCTGGGAAAATGTTTATGTAGATTAGCTGACATGAGCTATGTCCATAGATTTCTTTCACAAAACCTGTGTTCTTCTTGTGCTTTACAGATAATTAAAAAGCTGATAGAAAGAAAACAGGCCCAGATTCGGAAAGTTTACCCCGGACTTTCATGTTTTAAAGATGGAGTTCGACAAATTCCTATAGAAAGCATTCCTGGAATTAGTATGTATAGACCTTCTTTTAAAAGTGAAGCCTTTTGGTAATGCATGAGTTGTGTTTGAAACAATTTCCAGACCGCAGTAATTTGGGAAGTCTTGTTGCTCTACCTGATATTTGTGTTATTTCTAAGCTTTCATGAAGGCAGAAAATGCTCTCCTTTTTGTCTTTTCTCTGCCACCCAATTCAGACCAACCAAGGAGAGCTTCGATGCCCCCATATTATAGCTGTTAGTAGCCACCATTTATTAAGACACGATCTGCATGTGACCTTGAGGGTAGGGAATTCTACTTTTACAAGGGGAAAAATTGAAATAACACAGAATGGCTGTGTGAGTTAGTGTTAAATGGCAAATAGCCACTAATAGAATTATAAGCAATCTAGTCTTCAAGCATCTCAATTTGCACCTGTCTCATTGCCATCATGATTGCAACCTACGCAGGTCTGTGGTTTGCTAGATTAGTTTTCCCCAAACTTCTAGAAAAGATTATTTGCCAAGTGTGATAGAGTAATCATTTGTTTCAAGTTCCCTATGTTAAAGGCATTTTCTGGAGGGTTCCTGTCTGTATGTTCGAGATTTGTTGTATTTGGTTAAACTGTGCATTATAGCTCTTTTTATAGATTAAGTTATTGAGGATCACCCAGCATTGTATTGGTATAATTCATGTTCTTCTGGTATACTGGAAATTTAATTATGTAAACAAAATGAAACTAAAATTCTCCAGAAAATATAAGATATTATTTGGGCAAGGTATATTATTTTATTCTATTAAGCCTATATGTGACCTTTTATTGGAGAACCCAGAAATTCTGCTTCCCTTTATTATCACTATTAATAGCATAATAGCGATGATATCAATAATGGCTACCTATGTCAAGCATGCTCACGTATTTTTTTTTTCACATACATCAGCTATCTCAGAAGGCATAAATAACATCACCTAAATTTTGTTTTTGACATGCAGAGTTAGACAGTGAGAGAGACAGACAGAAAGGTCTTCCTTCTGTTGGTTCACCCCACAAATGGCTGCTATGGCTGGTGTGCTGTGCCGATCTGAAGCCAGGAGCCAAGTGCTTCCTCTTGGTCTCCCATGCAGGTGCAGGGCCCAAGGGCTTGGGCCATTCTCCACTGCCTTTCCAGGACACAGCAGAGAGCTGGACTGGAAGAAGAGCAACCAGGACAGAATCCGACGCCCCAACCAGGACTAGAACCCGGGGTGCCGGCGCCTCAGGCGGAGGATTAGCCTAGTGAGCCATGGCGCCGGCCAACATCACCTAATTTTTAGAGTTTTTTCTATAAATTGAGAGGCAAGAAGTGAAGTAACTTACTCAGAGTAAATTAACTTTTCAGGAGAGAGCAGAAAATCAAATCCAGATCTATTGGACTTCAGGCTGGTTTTTCTATCTGCTAGGCTAAACCATCTCACATCATAAGCAAGGCATTGGCCAAATAAAAAGAACCAGAAGAGAGTTTGTTCTGACCCAACTCTTTCACATGGTGATAAGCAAAAAGAGATTTGACTTACAGTTTAAAAAAATACATATGCTGACAGGACTGGAGTTTTTTTATGACTTTCTCTGAAAGGTTACAGTTCTTGCTTTACAAAACACTAGCGCATGGGGCAGCATTAGCAGAATCGTAAGGTTTTGTGTTGTTGGCTGTAAAAGGAATTGCACGCTTTCCTCAGAAAGAATTTTATTAAGGCATGGCTTTGATTTATTGTGTTTTTGACATGTATTAACTATGTTATTCTCTTGATTAAAAGCAGTTCTCATTCCGTGTTTAATTTTGTTGATGTATAGGAGAGACAGGCTGGAAACCAAGTGGAAAGGAGAAAAGGTAAGTATGTGCCAGAGGGTGTGTGATTTTTTTTTTCCTCTCAGCAACTTAGAGAAAAAGGGCAAACCCCTTGTCATCACTAATCTAATGTTGAGTGAGTTTCACTTTTTGTAAAAAATTTAGAACGGTTCTAACATTAGGTTTGCATAAGAATAAACTAAATAGTAATCAGCTGGCAAGAGAGCACAAAACTAATTGTCCCTCATGTTTACTCTTTTCAAGTAAGGAGCCCAAAGACCCTGACCAGCTTTACAGCACGCTGAAGAGCATCCTTCAGCAGGTGAAGGTGCGTGTCCCCTTTGTTTGTCTCCTGCAAACATTTTGAAATGATCTCCCACATGGAATTTCCATATTAGAGACCTTACTTTTTTCTTTACCCAAGAGCCATCAAAGCGCTTGGCCCTTCATGGAACCGGTGAAGAGAACGGAAGCTCCGGGATATTATGAAGTTATAAGGTTTCCCATGGGTAATGCCATTAATGTTTTCTAAGGATAGATTTAAAACTCCGTGGGTGGTGGTGTGGGGACAAATGTTTGCTGAGGTTCGTTTGTACTCCTTCGATGCAGGATGGGAAGTGTCTGATGGGTGGGGGGATTCATGGACCATTGGAGGGGCAGTGGTGTCAGAGCAGAATGGGACAACAAAGGAGAAGTGGGGGTATGGAGCTCATGAGAGATGTTCTGCAGTCATCTTGTAGGGCCTACACATAGTACCACTAGACACAGAAAGTCCAGGTGGTGAGCCACAAATAGCGTGAGAGATGGAAGTTGGGTATTTTGACATAACCTTGCTTATATCTGTTTGTTGCAAAATGAAAAAATATCAGGCTGTCCTCTTGATATGTTTTGAGTCTGGCATAAATGATTATCCCTTTTAAGACTTTTCTCTGGTAATATGAGAGATGTTAGATTAAGCTGCTGGGCTGCTGTAGTTTCAGAGGGAGGAATTCTAGTTGATGCAAGTGTTGATTTTCCATGCTCTTGATTAATCCTGTTAGTATCACTATACATACAATCTTTATTTTAAGTTTTGTCTCCCATCCAAAGCAAACAGGATGCTTGCAACAATGTAGAATTATGGGACTGGGGATGTGGCACAGCAGGTTAAGCCACCATCTGCAAAGCCAGTATCCCATATGGGCACTGGTTCAAGTCTCAGCTGCTGCACTTCTGATTCAGCTCCCTGCTAATGTGCCTGGGAAAGCAGTGGAAGATGGTCCAAATTCTTGGACTCTTGCACCCATATGGAAGTCCTCATAGAGTTCCAGGCTCCTGGCTTTGGCCTGACCTAGCCCCCTGCCATTGTGGCCATTTGGGGAGTGAACCAGTGGATGGAAGACCTTTCTCTCTGTCTTTCCCTGTCTCTCTCTTTCTCTCTCTCTCTCTCTCTCTGTGTGTGTGTATGTGTGTGTAACTCTTCCTGTCAAATAATTCTTTTAAAATTGTGGAATTATACCTATACCATACTAAAAGGAATGATTAATTGAATCAATGAGAACCCCCAAAGTAAACCAACTTGGCAATTTACAGATGAAAACTAGCTGAAATACTTTCTTTTTAATCAGTTGCGTGGCCATTTTTTGGAAAGAGTCAATCTTCTTTCCCATTTTTACTTATAATCTATTCCAGATGTTAAATGTGAAAAGAAGAATGAAAGGGATCCATTAGCTCCTTACAACTGGAAGTTATTTATGGGTGTTCTCATGGAATTAATTTTCACAAGAATGTTATATTATACAAAATACTCCAGCAAGCTCATGGAAAATAGAATTAAAAGAAAACTTTATATATTGGTGCAAACGTTTTTTAATTTATGAAATGGCTTTTTTCATAATATGTACTTTGCATGAATTTTTAAAGACCCCTTATAGTTCTTTAAAGTGGACATATATCTACATGCCATTCATTCCCTCTGTTCTCAGCCTTGCTACCATATATTTCGAGTAAGAAAACTAAAGAGACAGTTGACTCAGTCTAGAATTCTGAATGGAAATGTGACTTGGAAATTAATAGTCTCCATTATGTGGAAAAAGATGGCCAAACTCTTCCTATCCATTCCTAACCTTAAGTTAATGATTTTTTGCATTTTCCTTCTTTGGACCATTTCAGCTTCTTTTGTGAAACCCTCATAGGCAGTTGGATGAGTTTGAGAGAGTAAATTCCCCTTCAGTCTTTCTGTGTCACTCTGAAGACCTGGGGTGGTAGGGCTATCAGATCTCATCTGTCAGAGCCTACTCACAGCCTGCTTTCTCCAAGTTTCTTGCTTGGTTTAGCCTTCAAAGTGTGTGACTTCTCTAATTAGATACCACTTGTATGCATAGCTGAGTGTTTGTTAGGGAAAAAACCGACTACCTTGAGCAAGAATGGTGATAGGTTGAAGTGAGTGCTATAACAGAATTAATTAAAGCAGTCACTGGTACTCTTTAGTAGAGCAGTAAATTAAATTTTTTTTGAATGACTGTAGGAGCTGAATATAATGTGTAGTCTTTGAAGACAAGACAGATCAATAATTTTGCCTTTTCCCATTATTGCTTTCTTGGATTTTTAAATTTGTATCTCTTTCCTCCATGTTCTAAAAAATTTTTCTTTCATGTGGATGGGATTGAAATTGCTTCACATAGAGAGTCACACACAGGATACTGTCTGAGTGGTTCATGCATGACTTCCTAGCTACTAGGGATCGCTGTTTACTGAGAATTCCCAGGCTGGGTAACAGGGAGAATGAAAACAGAATAGTTTAATTGGTGTCTCCGTATTTGGTACCACAAATCTTAGTTACCTTCTTTTTAAAAACATTAAAAATTATTTGAAAGACAGAGGAAGTATCATTCACCGGTGCACTCTCCAAATGCCTGCAACAGCCTTGGGCCCAGCGGCCTGGGAGCTGGAAAGTGAATCTAGGTCTCCCATATGAGTGGCAGGAATCCTACCACTTAGGCTATCACACTGCCTCGCAGCGTCTGCATTAGCAGGGAGCTGGAGTAAGGAGCACAAAAGCTGGGTATCTGATTTTAGGTACACCAAGGTGGGATGTGGACATTGCAGCTGTTAGGGTAAATGCTTGGCCCATGTCACCTTTTTTACGCTTGCCATTTGGTCTATTGAAAGACTCTAAGAAGGCTAGAGGAAGAAAGAAACTATCTATAGCTTTAAAATATAAAGGAAATATAGAAAGGAAGTATTCAAAATAGATGATAATTTTTCAGAAAAATTCAACATCTATAATTCTTTTGCTTTGTGTTACACTGTAGGTTCTCCCCACCTCTTTTTTTTGCAGGGGGGGGGAGATTTATTTATTTGAAAGGCAGAGTTACACAGAGAGGGAGAGGCAGAGAGAGAGAGAGAGAGAAGAGTCTTCCATCTGCTGGTTTATTCCCCAGTTGGCTGCAACGGCCGGAGTTGCGCTGATCCAAAGCCAGGAGCCAGGAGCCAGGAGCCAGGAGCCTCCTCCAGGTCTCCCACACGGGTGCAGGGGCCCAAGCACTTGAGCCATCTTCTACTGCTTTCCCAGGCCATAGCAGAGAGCTGGATCAGAAGTGGAGCAGCTGGGACTCAAACCAGCACCTGCTACACCCCAGTACCAGTCCCTCCCCACCTCTTCTTAACCTTGCCCTCCAAAAAAAAAGTTTGAAAAGCATTTGGACCAACATTTTTGTGTCAGCTTTCATTCTTTTTCCCCTTGCTTTTCTTTTCTCTTTCCCCCCTTTTGTTTACATGTCTCTAATTTCTAAAATATTAGTAAATATATTGGCCAGTATATCTTAAGTGGTAGGCATTTCATTAGAAAGAATGAAAGAAAACATCTAATTTTACCTACAGGGGCACAATTTCATTGTTCTTTCTTACTTAGAGAACATCTTGATTTGTTTAGTCACACTTGCACGAGACATTTACAGGGGAGTTTTCTGAGTCTTTGTGTATCTTAGCGCTCTTAGATGTTTTTCTGTTCCACCCTGTTCCATTCAGAGATGAAAGAGAAACTGGAAAGCTGAACGTAGAGATACGTTAACACATATCTGCAGATGCAGATATTTTGTGTTTTTTTTCTTTTGTGTTTTTTCATGGATTTGAGATTTTGATGCAAATGAATTTATTCACAGTTTAGTAATATTGCTCATAAGCTTTCATATTAAATGATAATTTCCAATAGATTTGATTGTAAACTAATTTTCTTCTGGAAATTTTAATAATACAGGGAAAATTGGATGTATTGATGGTGAGAAGTATTTCTTTAGCTATTTTAACTTATTCCTCCAGGTATAGATGATACCATTGTTAATTCTTAATGACAGAATGAGACTTTAGGACAGCCGGAGACCCATAAAGACAAATATTACAATCTTCTAATCTGTATAAAATTTTAAAAAATTGATTCTGAGAGTGCAGATTGAGGAAATCCATTCTAGTTTTGTTTAGATGAAGTACTGTTCTCACTTCTAAACTAATACCACTTAGAGCAAGTAGACATATTGAGAAAATATTTTTATAATAGTCACAAAGCTTACTTGTTCTAGGGAATAGACCTTATTTCACTGATAAGAGTATGAAAAAAAATCATTTGAAACATTTTATGTGTAGGGTTGCTGGTGTATTTGCAGATGTCTTTATGATCAGTTCCTCTATTTTAGTTCTGTCTTTACACCAAAACAACATGAATTTAGTGAAGCAAACTCAACCTGATTGTTTTAAGTAATTAAATATCTCAATACAAACGCCCCACCTGCTCTACTCCATGTAGCTGGAACCCTTTGTATAATTCTGAATGAATAGCTAAGAGCAGTCAGTTCATCATACTTATCTTTGCTAATCTACTTAGCTTCCTTGTGCTGAATAGCGGGTTGGACTAGATGACTAATAATGGTCTCTTTAATGTTAAAATAGCTGTGATTTTACAAAAAAAAAAAAAAAAAGCAATAAGAAAGAAGAAAAAGAAACCCTAACAAAAGAATGAATCTTAAGATTTGTGAACTGTTTTCTTTTATCATAAGGATTTCTCTAAACAAAAGCATTGGAATGATAAAAATTTAAACTAGCCAACCTAGATGTTTTCCCCAGTCTCAATTTCATCAGCTAGCGTTTAACACTTAAAGATTGCTAATATGTTTTTTCTCTGTGCAGATCTGAAAACCATGAGTGAACGCCTCAAGAATAGGTACTACGTATCTAAGAAATTATTCATGGCAGACTTACAACGAGTCTTTACCAATTGCAAAGAATACAACCCCCCTGAGAGTGAATACTACAAATGTGCCAATATCCTGGAGAAATTCTTCTTCAGTAAAATTAAGGAAGCTGGATTAATTGACAAGTGATGTTCCCCCCCTGCTGCTTAGAGATTCATCAAGCAGTGTGCCTAATGCAAGGTGGTTTAGTTGTACAAAGAATTGGACAAAATATGTCGAAGAGACTTGTAATAATTAGCACTTTTGAAAAACAAACAAAAAACCTCCTTTTAGCTTTTCAGATATGTATATAAATTGACATAGAACATTTTTATTTTATGGAATAGATTTTAATCTATTTAGTACTATTAATGTAAATTTTCTATGGCATGTCCATTAGACAACTATTACAAGATAAATGGTCAGGGGTTTCCTCAAAACCTGTATGTGAGGAAATTGCACATTGTCTCAAGATTTGGGGGATTCTAGAAAATTTCAGACCATGAATGTTTCCATGTTTTTCTAATGGAATGTGAGAATTTATTTTTATTTTATTCTGAAGGACTTTAAGGAAGGGATACGTGATTTTAAAAAACCCATAAAAGGTGAAATACATTTGAAGTCTCATTGTAGACTTCACATATATATTTTTAAAACACTCATCTAAATGAGGTGCTTTGAGCAGTTCTGAAAAATGCAGCTCTACAAAAGCAACTGCTTTGATTTCTAAGGAGGAAATTTTAAATAATGCGACATTTTATAAGCATCTGGAGTTTTGATAATTCTGTCTACCTACAACAAACTTGTGTGTTCATAACCACTATTTTAATAATTGTTTTCTCTACATAAATGTTTAATATAGTGTTTGACTTTGCTTATGCAGGCCATAAGTTCCAAAAGGTAATTTCCCAGGCCACAAAGGCGTAAATTTGAAAACACTTAAGATTTAATCCACATATTTTAATAGGAAAAAAGTTTATAGTTTACACATATATCAATATGGTGAATCCTTTTCTAAAATAAGGATTTATTTATTTGGTATACACAACACCATTTATAAAGTATACATGAGGATTTTTCATTTTTCATCTCCCGATATTGTTTGTTGTCAGTGGTGAATTAAATTCCAACCAAGGTTTTCTGTCAGTATTTTAATACCTATATTGCTATATAGGTCTAAGGTCATATCCCACTAAAATCCATTATACAACCAACCTTATTAACCTGTCTTCGATTTATTTCCTAATTACACTACAAAGAAAAGTGGGACTTCTGCCATCCCAAGTCTGGGAAAATCAACTAATATACAACCATAGAAATGAAGGCCATCCTGGTGGTCTTGACACTAATTTTTATGATGCAAATTTATAAACTCGTTTTTGTAAAGGATGGAATTTTAAAAGTGTATTTATCTTGATTTTTCTATCAGCATAAATAAATTAAAATGATCAGTAACAGTCATTAAAAACCATTGCCAGTGATAGTCTGTGTGAAGGGAAAAACCCTGCAAATGGCTATTAAGTTGAAAGTGTTGTTTTTGATACAAATGAGATATTCAGAATGCTCACATGGAAAAATGCCTCATCTTTTTTAAGTATAAGAAACTACCTTCAGTGGTGTCTAGATTTCTATGAAGAATGATGATACAGCTTGGATTAAGTTATTTTGGACTGGTTTTAACAGTGCTTTGTATCAGATCTGCCAAAGCATCTGTCCAGCTTGGTATCCTGTGAAAGTTTGTTATTTTCTTGGTAGACATTCTTATAGAGTATTGTCTTTAAAATGAGATCGTCTCTTCTATATTGAAAGCATTTTTATGTTTTCTAATTTAAAAATTAATATTTTCTTATAGATATTGTGCAATAAAGCTGAAGTAGAATGTGTGGTTTTGCAAATGCTTTAACAGCTGATAAAATTTTACATTTGTAAAATTAATATATTGTACTGGTACAAAATAGTTTTAAATTATATTTTAAAAAGCTCCCAGTCTGGTGGTGTGTTTTCTTCTTCTAGCCAACTGAGGTTAGAAGCACAAACATGTGATTTGGGAGATGACTACTGACTGTATACCCTTAATCCTTAGCTCTTCAGCATGTTGTTGAAGACATTTAGAGTTGTATTTGTGGGAAGCGTCATAAAAATCCACAGCTCATCAGTGAGAGATTTTCAAGAGGAAAGGTACTGAACTCTTGTCTTTTGAGTCATCCACTATGTCTTATGATCCATCAAAGAAGATTGTTATTGGCTTACAAGTTAAAAGGTCTTTTACAGTATTTTTACTTGGTATCTGTGAAATAGATTAAAAAAAAAAAAACCAGCTAATTTTTAAACATCTCCCATGTGAGCTTCCAACGTCACTCAAAATGCTTCCTGTGGGAAAGAGTGTCCTGTCCCATTGGAGGGTGAAAGACCCCCACAGAAAGGATTGCTCTTCCCTCTTGAAAACTGAACCAACTAAGGAGTCGTAAACATACTGTAAAAATTGGGCATATTTTGGCCAATTTATCACCAGAATTACTGATAAAATGAACATTGGAGAATGTGGCTTCCTTATCCCTGTGGAAAATGAGAATGTGATTGGCTCTCCAGTAACCAGCAGCTCTGCACCGTTGCCGACCTCCCTTCCTGGGGCAGGGTAATCCCGTAGTAGTGCAGGTAAGAGAGAGGCATTATCAACCTATGTCCATAACAGCCTATAAGTATGCTACTACTCAAGTTACCAACTAAGTGAAGTGCCCTCCAGGGAGGAATGAATGAGGGCAGAAGAAAGCCAGATAATGGATGGAAGTTCTGGAATGGAGAATCCATCCCCATCCTTATATCTGTAGTGAAGAATCTCTCAATAGGGGTGGGCATTGTGGCACAGTGGGATCAGCCACCGTTTGTGATGTAGGCCTTGTAAAGGGGTGCTGGTTAGAGTTCAGACTTCTCCACTTCTGATCCAGCTCTCTGCTAATGTGCCTGGGAAAAAAGACAGCCCAAGTACTTGGGCCCCTGTCACCCATGTGAGAGACCCAGACGGAGTTCTGTGCTCCTGGCTTCAGCCTGGACCAGCCCAGCCATTGCAGCCATTTGGGGAGTGAACTAGTGGATGGAGGATCTCCCTCTCCCTTACTCTCTTTCACTCACTCTGTCGCTCTCGCTCTCTGCATATTGCTCTGCCTTAATAAATCTTTCAAAAAAATCTCTATGTAAATTATTTTTATTTATTTGAGAGAGGGTAGTCTCCCATCTACCAGTTTATTCCTCAAATGTCAACAACAGCTGACTAGATTGGGCTGAACTAAAGCTGGGAGCCAAGAACCCAATCCAGAGGCTAACACTGTGGCACAGTGGGTTATACTGCCACCTGCAATACCAGCATCCTGTATGGGCTCTGATTTGAGTCTTGGCTGCTTCATTTCCACTCCAGCTCCCTGCTAATGTGCCTGGAAAGCAGTGGAAGATGGCCCAAGTGCTTGATTCCCTGTATCTATGTGGGAGACCTGTATGAAGCTCCTGGTTTCTTTCTGGTCTACCCCTGGCCATTGTGGCCATTGTGGGAGTGAACCAGTGGATAGATGATCTCCATCTCTCCCTCTCTCTGTAACTCTGCCTTTCAAAAAAGTAAAAACAGGAACCAGCGCTGTGGCCTAGTAGGTTAAATATCTGGCTGTGGCACCAGCTTCTCATATAGGCACCACTTCGAGTCCCGGCTGCTCCACTCCCAATTCAGCTTTCTGCTGACGGCCTGGGAAAGCAGTAGAAGATGGCCAAGTGCTTGGGCCCCTGCTTCCAAGTGGGAGACCCAGAAGCTCTTAGCTCCTGGTTCCACAGTCTGGCCATTGCAGCCATTTGGGAAGTGAAGCAGCAGGTGAAAGACTTTGTAACTATGCCTTTCAAGTAAATAAATAAATCTTTAAAATAAGCAAAAAAAAAAAAAAATTTACCATTCTAGGTCTCCCACTCAGGTGGCAGGAGCCCAACTATTGAGCATCACAGCCTTTTCTGGTTGAAAAAGGTGTGTGTGTGTGTGTGTGTGTGTGTGTGTGTATAGGGAGTGTTGGGGGGGGGGGTGGAAAACTGGTGGCGGGGACTGACACCAGTGCCTCTATTTGAATCTGAAGGCTCTTGGGGTTATTTACTTTCTCCTTTGGGTCCATTGGTGCTACCAGTCTAATTTATAATGAAGATTGACAGGCAAAAACAGAAATGTCTTAGGTAAAGAGATGGAAATGGATTTAAAGAGGAAAAAATAAAGAGCAAGTAGGTTTCCAATAGGCCTGGAGGAAGACCTTCAAGAAAATAACCAGAAGATGCTAAAAGGAGGTAAGAGGACAGCTGTGTCATGAAAAGTCCCCTTTACAGTAATGTGTATATTTATGCCTTGGTTTTCTTATGAGAACACTGTGGAAATATGAAGCTAACAGTGACAAAGCTGGAGATTTTCTTTGTATTTATTAAAAATAATTTAAAAAAAAAACAGAAAAGCGAAGAACACAGAACTCAAGCTTCCTATTTACTCTTACTGGGAAGTTCAACACCTGTGGTAGGGTCAAGAGTTGAAAAAGATAAGAAAGAACTAGTGTAATTGGTAAGTGTGTATGACATTTTATGAACTGAGTTGAGAGCAGTTTCAGTTTATCTAGGTGTGAAGTTCTCTAAAAGAAATCTCTTGGGGGCCTTGTTGGAGGCTAAGGGTCTGCTCAAAATAATGCACATGTTCACACATACACGTGTAAACTTTCTGCAAATCAGTTCTCTTGGGTCTTGAATCCTTTTAAAGTTCACTGATGAACCCTGGTTTAAGAATTGTTGGTTGGGGCCAGCATTGTGGTGCAGTGAGTTTAGCCTTTGCTTGCAGTCCCAGCTGCTCTGTTTTGTTTTATTTTGTTTGGTTTTGGGTAAGATTTATTTATTTAATTTGAAAGGCAAGAGTTACACGGGGGAGAGAGAGAGAGTCCATCTTCTGGTTCACTCTCAACATGGCTGCAGTGACAGAAGCTGGTCCAGATCGAAGTCAAGAGCCAGGAGCTTCTTCTGGGTTTTGCATGTGAGTGCAGGGGCCCAAGCACCTGGACAATTTCTGCTGCTTTCCCAGGCACATTAGCAGGGAGCTGGATTGGAAGTGGAGCAGCTGGGAATTGAACCAGTGCCCATAACGGATGCGGATTGCAGCTTAACCTGCTATGCCACAGCGCTGATCCTTCTAATCCAGCTTCCTTCTGATGTGTCTTGATTGCTTGTGACTGTTATATACATTAGTGCAATCACTACCCAAAGAAGACACATTTCCATCACCCAAATAAAGTTTCCTGGTGCCCATTTCCAGCCAATTCCCCTCCCACCATCTCAAGACAACCACTTTTGATTGCTATCACCATAGATCTTTTTCTGTTCTTTAATTTCTTGTATTCTTGGGTCTGCTTCATCCACGCTGTAGTATGTATTAATATTCTGTTGTTGGAATGTTTCACACTTTGTTTCTCCATTTAACTGTAGTGGTTATTTGGGTAGTTTCCACATTATGGTTTTTAACAGTAAAGCTGCTGTAAACATTTTTGTATAGGTCTGTTTGTAGACACATGCTGCTGTTCCTCTTGTGTAAATACCTAAATGTGGAACTGTTGGGTCACAAAGGAGATGTGGGCTTGATTTTATAGGATATTCTTTCTGTTGTATTGACCCATGAAGCTTTTTATATTCGAAAGTTCCAACAATCACTGTTGTCTGTTTCTTCTAGGTTTTTCATTTATAGATTATACATTTATTTATAAGCTATAAAGCTATCTTTTCTCATCTCTATGTTATGGATGAAAATATTGAACAGGATGAAACTTTCCATGGTGATGTTAGATGCCACCTTCCAAGATGCCAAAGATAAAAATCCCTTGGGTATGATTGTGCAGCTGTAGGAGTCCACTTGACAGTCTCCAAGCAGGCCAAATTTTTCCATATTTTCTATGAGTACCAAAAGGAAATAAATTTTGGACACCTCTCTGTTGTGTTGTTGTTTTTATTCTATTCCATGTATTTTCTTGTACAAATTCTACTTCTCAACACCCTTTAAGGATGAGACACTAGGTGTAGTCTTATTCCTCATCCTGAGTGTGTTCTTTCATTAGACACATACCTTTTTGCTTAAAGTTATACTAAAGATGTATTTAAATAATGTATGTGAGAAAGCTATGAAATAAAAGTGAAACACTATGTATTTAAGCTAGTGCTATACATGTACAAATTAGAAGGGCTTTTTGCCTAGAACTTTATTTAAGTACTGTTAACATAATATGAATAATATTTTATCTGTGCTAGTACTAAGAGATATGAATGAACTAGCAGACAGAATTTAGTGCAGATGATCGAATGGTCAAACTGTATATGTTACATGGATCCCTATAACCAGGTAATTATTTTTTTGTAAAGATTTATTTATTTATTTGAAAGAGTTTCAGAGAGAGAGGAGAGGCAGAGAGAAAGAAGTCTTCCATCCGATGGTTCACTCCCCAGTTGGCCACAATGACCGGAACTGCGCCGATCCGGCGCCAGGAGCCAGGAGCTTCTTCTGGGTCTCCCACGTGGGTACAGGGGCCCAAGGACTTCGGCCATCCTCTGCTGCCATCCCAGGCCACAGCAGAGAGCTGGAAAGGAAGAGGAGCAGCCGGGACTAGAACCGGCGCCCATATGGGATGTTGGTGCTTCAGGCCAGGGCGTTAACCTGCTGAGTCACAGTGCCGGCCCCTAACCAGGTAATTATCAAGCCCAGGAATCTACCACTGACCAAGCACTTAGTAGCTGTGTCAGGCACTCTCATAACTATTTTATGTATGTTGATTCATTGAATCGTTACAGCAATTTAATGAAAATACTGAGATAAAGATAATTTTCTCAGAAAGTCAGATGCATGGATTCTGGGTGCACAGTCAGTGTTCTTGAACATTGTGCAATACCACAGCTACATTTCATTGTCCTAGTTTGTTGCAACAGGAGTTATCTGGTTACTAAGGCTATAACAAGTTCCTTTTACATTCTCTGCTTTTCACTACAGATTCTTACCACATAATTGAGCATCTCATATTTAAAATAAGAATATATGTGATGAATTGATTGCTTTTAATACTAAAACCTATTATTGGAGAGGAAATGTAACCCGAAGAAGAAATGTAATATCAGTGAACTCAGAGGTGAGGGATTAATGTCAGATTGGAGTGAAAGTTGATGATGTGTTGGGATCAAGTTGAATGGGGTCATGAAATACCTCTTGTTTAAGAGTCAACTTCAGCAGTGGGACTAAGAGCTACTGAAACTTAGACTGCATGTTGGTACAAAATAATCAAAATTCAGTTACTTTTTCATGGGAGAGTTAAACACTGAACAGTGCTTACTAGTGTCACGAACAATACAATGAAAGGTAGAACTTACCTTGGTGGGACCAAGTTTACACACACACACACACACACACACACACACACACGATACTTTGCTAAGCAAATGTAGCTTCAGGATAAGTTTCCTAAGTACTTCCCTAGTCCCCTGATAGCCTGTCCCAACACCAGTGTTTCTTCCATTCAAAAGATTTAGGACCTCTTTAGGTCCTTGTCTATAGGGAATTTCTGGGGCCATGGTGCTAGCAGAGTATTTATAGGAAGGAATACACAATCTGACAAGCAAGAATTTAGGAAAAACTTCCAGAGGAAGTGGTATTTAAACTGTTTGCTGAAATATGAATAGGCATTGACTAAGGCAATAAAAGAAGGCAGGCAGAGACATACAGGTTGAGAACTCCTTGAGGCAGTAAAGAACCAAAGAAGTGAGAGAATCTGATATGACAGGAGTGGTAGAGAGCAAAGAGGAGTAGGGTGAGATGGTGCCATGCCATCACAGATCATGCTAAGAACACTGGACTTCAGAGAAATAGGAAGTGGCTTTTAGGTATGAAAACATTTTGTGATGTAAAAAAAAAAAAAAAAAATCCTAGGTACACATTGTGGCATAGCAGGTTAAGCCACCATTTGGGACTCTGGCATCCCATACTGGAGTGCCTGGATTGAGTCTTGCCTCTGCTTCCCATCCAGCTTCCTGCCAATGCACACTCTAGGATGCAGCAAATGGCAGATCAAGTACATGGGTCATTGCCAACCAAGTGGGAGACCACATGCAGTTTCTGGTTTTGGCCTAGTTCATGCCTGCTGTTGCAGGCCTTTGGGGAGTGTACCATAGATATAAGATCTGTTTCTCTCTCCCTCTCTCTCATTCTGCCTTTCCAATAGAAATAAGTAAAGAAATGAATAAACTTAAAATCTTGACAATGGATTGGAGACTTCTGGTTACTCAATACTGAAGCCTAAGATGACTTAAAAATTTTGGCCCACAAGATATCCAGAAATACTGTGTAATGCATTTAAGGACATAGTTGAACTTACAAAATAAGGCAGTCTGTTGGGGCCCGTCTTGTGGCATAGTGAGTAAAGCTGCCACCTGCAGTGCCAGTATCCCATATGGGCGCTGGTTTGAGTCCCAGCTGCTCCACTACTAATCCAGCTCTTTGCTATGGCCTGGGAAAGCAGTACAAGATGGCCCAAGTCCTTGGGCCCCTGCACCCAATGGGCGACCCAGAAGAAGCTCCTGACTCCTGGCTTCGGATTGGCACAGCTCCAGCCGTTGCGGCCAACTGGGGAGTGAACCATCAGATGGAAGACCTCTCTCTCTGCCTCTCTCTCTCTAACTCTGCCTTTCAAATAAATAAATCTTTTTAAAAAACTATAGTCTGTAAGTAGTATAACCAAGAGGAAACTAATGTAAGCCTCCTATAGACATTCTGATTCTTTGGTCACCCCAAGAAAGTTGCTATCTCTAAGTAAAGGGCTTAGGTTTTAATATATATGTGGGTTAAATGAAACAAATTATTAACATCTCTTAGCCCCTTCCCCCAGACATATAAAGCTGGAATCTATAAAAGGTCTGTATACATGAGTGAAAGCATAAACAAAATTTTCCTAAGGATTTGAAGCCCTTGAACTTTATTTAAAGCAGGTTTGAGCTTCAAGTTTATATTTCCTACATGGTCCAGGAATCCCTAAAGAAATCTCCAAACAGCATAAAATAAAAATTGATTCTTAGGCAAGTAATCTCTCCAGGGCACAAGGTAAAAGCTAACACAAAATCATTGTACAGTGATGTTTCTACAATCTGATTCACAAACTCTCTGAAGGAAAACTAAACCCCATTAAGGATGAGATTACAATAGAAAATCATAAAATGCTTAAGCAGGCAATTAATCATAATCAAATGTCAACATTTATGTAAATTATCAAGACTAGACACCTAATGTGGAAAACACATCAATATTCTAAAAGAAAAGTGCTTGTACTATAATTGCTTAAAATTTAGAAGAAAACATCAAATGATGGGTTAAATAGGCTATGATTCAGTTAAGGATAGAATGAGTGAAATGGAATATAGAACTGATGAAATGACAAAGAATATAGCTAGAGATGGAAAATATGAACATGGGATTAAGAGAATAGACTGCCAGCAATGTAA